AGAATAGCAAGAATAGCAAGAATAGCAAGAATAGTTCTTTTTCAATAAATAGTTCTTTTCAATAAATAATATATTCTAATTTTCAGTGGATAATTTCAATATAAGTAGGTTCGTAGTTTTAGCAGTGAGTGAGTATAAAATTAATAATAGCTAAATTCATGATTTTATTAATGAGTGGGCCCATAATTTCAGTAGCTAATTTATAATTTTAATAATAGGTAAGTTCGCATAATTTAACTGGTTACACACAGGTTCATACCCGTGGCCTTTGGACACAGATTTAAATATGAACCCATGTGTGTAACTGGGTTATTCAATATACCTATACAATAATTATCTTATTGCACATGTCTGAACGTAACAATCCTGTACAATAAACAAAATGAAAAAAGCACGAGTTGTTACATAAGACCCATGCAATAAATAATTTTGTGATTCAGCAGTAGTGGTTTAATTCAATATCGAATGGTTTAGATATTTCAATGGTAGTAGGTTTATAAATTCAACACTAAATATTTCAACAATTAGTGGGTAAAATTTAACAATGGATTCAATAAAGCAATATACTTTTGCGATATGTATTTTTGTCACATATTATTTGACACCTATACAAATATTTAATTATTTTTGTTCATCTCTTTATTAAAATTTTAGCAATTTGGTAGTTATATTTCTTGTCAATACATAGTAATTAAAGAACAAATTTATTTTCATACTATTATATGCTAGTATATTATATCTGATCTATAATTTACATATAGTTTATCAATTATATCATGTTATGCGTGTATGTTTTGAAAGTCGAATCTATTCTACTGGAACTGTATTAAAAAATTGATATAAATTTAAAAATTTTTCAAATTAGGTAAATTAAAAGATTTTTGAATTTAAGTATATAAAAATTAATGTATATAGGGAGATAAAACTAGTAATTCTCTCCAATATGTAGGTTTACTAATTTCTCCCTATAGTTTCTATTGGACGAAGAAAATCTTGTTTTTCGATCAAATAATAGAAGAGTTATTGAAACAGTATAATGGTCTTATATATATATACTATAAAAAATTTTGTAAGGAATTTTTTTTGTTAGAACACAAAAGGTAGTTTTGTAACCAAAATTGTAAATTACTGTCGATTTTTGAAAAATTTCAATTTTTTTTTATTTTTTGAAAATTTTATATTACACTTAATTTTATAATTTGATTGGTAGATGAAGAATGGTATAGTCTACTTTGCTCAATCAGAGATAGTATTTACAAATATCCAATCAGAACTGTGGGGAGAAATTAGAGATCCTCAATATGTAGCAAACCTATAATATATTTTATACTATCGATCATGATAATCTGGTGTATAATTTTAATTGACCTAATCACTCAGACAACATTCTATACTCCTCGTTTGATAATCTTGTTATTTCTAGAGTTAGTTAATTAATTAGTTTAGGTAGTTTTTAGTTTAGTACAATATTTATTGTATTATAGATGTATTATCCATATTCAATTATATCTGTTCCAGAAATGATTTCATCTTTTCAACATATGCTGCCTCTTATACATAAATATATAATAAATTCTTTTTTAGGTTTTGTTAACCTTTATCATGTGGTTTATTTTGCCCTTTTAAGATATTCGGCGTAATCAAATAAGCCTTGATAGACAACACAAATTAGCCAAATCCTTGGTAAAAAAGCTATTTTGAATTCAAATTATTATTTTTAAAAACTTAGTAACCAATATTGAAAATAATATAAATTAATTGGTTTATAAAGTATATAATAAAAATTTTTAGAGAGGTGCATACCATATACAACAGAGGCAAATATTTATGTTATGGTGTTAAATATAATGATATTAAACACTATGTGGTCTTAATAAAACTCTAACATAGATATTTATAATAAACTTGGAGTAAATAGTTATGATATTAAATGCGATAAAGATTAGCACTAGTAATAATAAAAGTATCTTAATTTTCAGATACAATATCGTCAAAATTATCAAGCTGCCCCACTTCCAAAACTTTATTAATCAATTATTACAAGTATTTACAGTTATTTGATTGTAAAAGTTTATTTATATATTATATTTAATTCTTGTTATATTGTACTGTGAGATTGAATAATAATTTGTTTTATATTATATTTCCATAATATTAACTTAATATCCTGCTAATATAATAGTAGGCAGATTGGATATAACTAAAGTTAGAAGAGTTACAAGAGTTATTATCATTTTTTCTAATACATATCCCGTATGGCCTAATATCTTTATCTTTATTGGTAACCCAATATTCACCGACCACAGTTTTCTCTTTTGGAATTTTCCGCAAACCTTTGGGATTCACACGATTTTGAATTATTACTAGATATTTATCTTCACCATGCACAAATTCCTTGGCGTATAATTCAGCAACATTCACATCAGGTGTTGAATAAATACCACGTCCATGAACAAAATTCTTTCCTTTACTTAATAAATACCCTTCCTCAGCAATTAATTTCGAATTATGTTTACTAGTACCATGGTATGATACTGGCCAAGCATTTGTATCAGTACCAAGCCATTCATCATTGCCATTATCATATTTTCCAGTAACTTTTAAGGCAAAACGTCGCCATCCACATGGTCTTAGATACTCAACACCACCGCGAGTGAATGTCTCATCTTTATCATCAATATTTGTAAAATCGAAATCGAACTCCGTGTCTAAAAAATCAGAGCTCAAATAACTTATTATACTTCCACCGCCATTAAGATTTGAGACTAAATGTAATGTACATCTCTTAATAATACCATAGTGAAAAAGTGTTTTCTCTCCCTCTAATGGCATACTGGCAAAAATAAGTCGTTGTTTATCAAATAGAATACCCTCTTTATCCTGAATTTTTTTTTTCACCTGATTAATAGTATCACTCTCGTTGCATTCAAGTGTAATGCTCTTACCAGTATACATTTTTACAAAAATTTGCATAGAGTCATGACTATTTAATTGATCAAATGACTCTGATGTTGATGATATTTCATTTAGTTCGTCAATTTTATTAACAAGTGTACATTGATGAAACGTATATACGTCAATAGGCTGGTAAGTGTTGCCTTCTTGCTGAATAAGTGAATTTTTTCTCTCATTATATTCTTTTTCTGATACAAAAATATAACCTGGCATTATGGCTGTAAACGCTGCATTGAGAAGGTCGATGCCAACATTTTCCATAATGATGAATCTTTTCAACGATTAGGTTTTTTATTATTTGAGCACAGTGTTCTATAAATTTGTACGCTTTAGTTCTTTTATTATTAAATTACAATAAAAGCTAAACAACCCATGTTTCATACCTAAAAAAAAAAATAATAATAGGGAGTAATGTTTTTTGTACTGGAATTTTAAGTATCTTTCCCATTTAATAATATTCGTTAGAGTCTTAAGATGAATAAATTGCTTTTGTGCATGATTTTGCATGATTTCGGAGAAATTTTGAATTTTTCCGCCAGTTCTGATTGGAAAAAGTAGACTGCGCCACTCTTCGTCTACCAATCAAAAACAACCAGTTGCTTAAAATTTTGTTAACAAAAACCACCTTTTGCGTTTTAACAACAGACATTCCTTGCAAAATTTTAGCATAATATACATCTATTAGACATAAATTAAAAAATCAAACGAAACATCGATAATAATATCAGTGTCAGGAATTCACACTTTCATAAAGTATTAAGATCCAATCATCAAAACTTTAAAAAGTTCATTT